GATCTACTTTCCCCACACGACTGACCCTGCCCAATCCCTCCCTCACATCTTCGATTTGAGCTCCTCAAACAACGCCTTCAGACCATCCATATCCGTCGTCTGTTGCGGCCAGCTAATACCGAGACCTTCTGTCTGATTGGGCTTGGGAATCTACAATACAATCAGCCATGGCTCTTCCCACAAATTTCGAATAAGACAGGAAACCTACCATGTGGAAGTGAACATGGTCAACGACCTGGTGTGCGACTCTACCGTTGTTCTGCAGGAGGTTGTAGTCCGTTGCCCCCGTGGCCTTGGCTAGCTTCTTAACTAGGGGCTATGGTCACGACACGTCAGTTCAGAGGCGCAGGAATGAGGACACATGAGTGGGATGAGGGCGGTGTCCGAGAGATTAGAGACAGCATACCAGGATCTCGCCGAGGTGGTCATCCGGCACATCGAGCAGCTTCTCGCCGTGGTACTTGGGGATAACGAGCTACGGTTCCTTCTGTCAATGGGGCGTGACTTGGCTTGCCAACGACGCGCAGGGAATCTCACGGCATGGCCCCGGCTCAGGGGGTTGATATCCAGGAAGGCGAGCGTCTTGTCGCTCTCGAAGAGCTTGAAGCAAGGGATCTCTCCTAAGGAGACCGAGATGCATTAGCTTCAGGTACATTTACGCTTAAGTGAGTATAACGGGTGCGTTGGTGGTCGCGGCACAAACGGCGACCTTGATGTCCATCCCCCGCAGGTGCTACTCATTATGTGTGTGCTGAGGCTGCTTACCCTTGATGATCTTGCAGAATATGCAGGCAGCGTTACTAGCCATGTTGGCAGAAAACGAAATTCAGGTCTCGGAGGCTTATGAGAAGGAGAGAATCAGTTGGATCACTTCTGTCTTGTGTGTTTCCTATACTGAAGATGGAGCTCTGTCCGCTTATGATCAACTCGGAACGTAGGTACCTACCTATCTAACGAGACGTCAGCTCAGAACGAGGGGCAGCGGCCAGGAGAGCTCTAAGCACAGGCCACCTGCCAGTTCTAGGGGTACTGTGTATGAATGCATAGAATGTGGGGCAAAACCAGCGAGACAGGAGTGGGCCATTTATACGGAATGTAAGCGCAGTGTGCGTGACACCGAGAAGGAGCAATGGAAAGTCTTCGGGATCGCCCTCATGAGTAAGAGGAGTAGAATAAGGTAAGCCAATCATCCACAAGGGTGTATGGTAGGAGCGGGTAGAGCTCAGCTATGGAGCAAAGTGAGTGATTATGATCCCCGACTAGAGAAGGAAGGGCATAGGAGTTCATGATATATAATATTCAAGGAAGAGGCCATTCGCCGGGTTCCATTCCCGTGCAGAGCAGAGCAGAATTGCCATCCATACCTAGCCACCTAACTCCTTTTGCTTCTGAAACTGGAGGATACACTTGGTTTGGAACCTGAGGAAGGTAACTCCCTCCTTCCTGTCAATTTGAGAAATCGTGCTTCTTACAGTTGATTAAGTACTTATGAAGCTCTTCTAGCATTCAAGATTTCATGCTGCGACGTGGGAGCAACTCACTATGATTGATAGACAGCATAAGAACAGCTTTGGGAATTAAAGCAGCCCAAAGTATTACGAGGTACACAAGTAGTGCCTTCCCGAAGAACCCCTTCTAGGGTGGTGCAAGCAACGAGTATCCATGTCCTCACAATTGACGAGAATCTGCCGCTCGAAAGTGATAACAAAGCATGAGCTTAGCTTCAGTGCCGGTCCCGATTCAGTAGTAAAGAGAGTAAGCAGGAGATACTCTGCATTCCATCGTCAATTCAGGTAGGATAAATCCTACACTTACACTTGTACCAGGTCTTTTACGACTGCCATATAGTCGATTCGTTCTCTATCGTCATAGTGTGGTACCACAAGCTAGCCAAACCATAACTCAAGCTATTCGCTCATGCCACTGGCTACCAGATATCTACCAAATACCATATGAAGCAGCACTAAACTAGCGGGCCAACGGGCGAGAGCTCGATAATCCAGTTCAAAACCGCAACTCCTGGCTTGCATTGAGAAGGGTCTTTCACTCGATTGTCTTCCAGTACACCTCGGTTTCGGGCAGCTCTCCAGAAGTATGGGCATGGAATGTCCAGAACCCAGCTGTCTGGCTAGTGTCTTGCCTCAATCTCCGGATGTTCTTCTCGATTCACGAGCTCGCCTCAAAGTGGCTGTCGTAGCCTCTCCATCCGATCAGTCTAACGTCGGTCATCGTCCTGCAAGTCCTGCGTCGAAGTCAACCTGTTGTCCACCTGCAGATCCCATGGGCCGGGCCAGATGGCGAAAGCGTAATGGAGAACCAAGGAGCCGCCGTTTTCTTCTCGCTTGATACCACAGTTGCGTTCAAACTGCTGCCGCTGAGACGCCATTTGCTGCGGATCACCGCCGACAGCCGTATATGATATAGCTGTCGAGATAGGCCGTGGGTCTCGGTCCAGCTAATTAAAATATTGCGTTTGAGGCATGATAGGTACCGAGCGGCCGTGATGGGATCTTGCCATTCAACCGGCTCGACTTACCCAGCATGAACCTCTTTCGCTAGGCAGAGACTTCATGGCGAAGAATGGAAGGAGCCGTGACATTATCTCCGTGACTGCCACAGCTGTTGACGTATTTAGGTCAAGCAGGCTCAAAACGGGTAATATTCCTGAATGTGTTCCCATGGCTGAGAGCGAGATTCAATTTTCCGATTCACTTTGGGTCGTGAGACTTGGCATCACGAGTGAATTCGCCACAGGATTGCCCTGACGATTCGTTGAGTTCAGAGTGAATGACGTCTCTTCCGGCTGAAATGTAGGACCTCAGTGGCGCCTCGGTAACGTGAGAGATTGGTATGTACATATTCACAACAACCCAGTTTGCCTCGCGATTGACAAGGATCAAGTTGCTCATGGAGTAATGAGCCCAAATATTCACCGCATAGGGGTCTATACTCCCTTCCATAGAGATCTATACAGAAAAGTCAGCGGGCTGCCGATAAGGGCTTGCCGTTTGGGACTCTGCGGGTGGAAGAAGGATAGTGCCGTTGCCATTTGGTCTTTGACCTACAGCATTTTTAGCAGGGGCGTTAAGCAATAAGTACCAGAGAAAGAGTCTGCCATTGACTAGCTATCTAAGACCTTAGGAATGCGTATTGGCCAGTGGTTATTGATTATCTTGAAGAGACATGTCACACAAACAAGCTACTAGGTCTTTCCTAGTCTCAAGCCAATACTGCTGACAGTCGCCGGGGTAGATTTGATCTAGAAGGGCCATCTAAACTTCGAGCGCTTTGAAGAAAGCCGGGCTCTCGTGCCCTTCGACTACTTTCGACACGGGGGCAGCCTGCGCCTCGACACCATCCCCTGCATCCGCGAAACGGCGAATGTACAGCTGTGCTACCTTGATCCACATTGCCTTTTCTCCTTTACTGGCGCCGGATCCCTGCCAGACCCAGATGTCGGACCCCGTGTCCAGAAGGAAGACGTCGTTGCTGTCAAGATCGGCCTTCGTGGTTGGCTCCGCGTCCTTGACGACATCGAACGAGAGCTGACCGGAGGCATCAGAAAGTCGGAAGAGCCGGCGTGGGCGCTGATCCTCTGCCTTCGACGAGCGGACGGGTCGCGCAGATCTAAATCCACCGTGATCCGCATCCTGGCCCCCGAGCAGAGAGACAATAGCCCCGGACCTGGACTCCGCCTGCGACACAACTTCAACGTCAACGTGCTTGGCGATGGTCATGTCGTGCACGACCTGCGCGGCTTTGGCCTTCTCCATCGGACTACAGTTCTTGCCCTGCCATACCCATATCTTGTCGTTCTTCTCTAGAACGAAGACATCGTTCTCGTCAAGGCTCTCCCAGGTGGGTGGCACCTCGTGCACCATGATGGAATCTGCTCGCTTAGCAGAAGGATGCTTGAAGATCCTCAACAACATGAGGGTTTCCTCTGGCTTTCGGTCCATATCGACGTGGGTGAAGCCGGTGCGCACACCTCCTGACAGGATTGAAATACGTGGGAAGAGTCCCACGAAGTCATCCGATGGCTCATGCTGAAGCTCTCGATGCTGGATCGCGACGCCGTGCAGGAACTCGTCAAGCTCGACGGTTTTGTAGGCAGCGACGCCGGCTTCGTCCTGCGAGGTCTTCGATCCGAGCCAGAAGTAAACATCATGGCCGAGTCGCTCTTGACCGTCTTTGTCACCGATCTTGTACGAGTGCAAGACGATGTAGCTGTCGCCCTCGTGGAACTGGCCATACTTCTCCCTTGGCCAGGCGACTACTTGGAAATCTTCAATACGCCATATGTGCAGCCCTGGGACTTGACCGACTTTTCCATCATTCCAGGCTGGCTCCGATGCGGCAGAGTTGTATTTCACCTGGTGATCAATGTCCGACCCGATGAGTTCGACGTTACTGTCTCGCCAGTCGTACTCCTTCGGGTGTACCAGGCCTTGGTGCGGGGCCATCTTCTGTAACTAAGTAGTTATTTGAGGGGTTGAAGCAACGAAACTGGGTAACAACGGAAACCAGGTGGTATAACGATTGAGGCAAGTACCGAAGTCGTGATATGTGCTTCAAACTTTTGTTCAACGTAACCGTAGAGGGACTATCTAGATAATATCGAGATTTTGATAAGAAGTCGTTCCTCTGCTCCCTGCAAAGCTTAGGTGACGTGGGGTGGCTTCGCTGAAACACGGAATCGGCAGTGAGTGGCATGGGGCAGTAGTCAACTCGTTTATAGTCCGAGTCACGTACGACGAACTTTATTCCAAATGAAAATGCGTTAGGTTAATTAAGTAGGCTTACACAGACTTTCTATAACAGCCGCAGCTGCAAATGTAATGCTAGTTTTACAAGTATTAAGATATATATATATAAATAATAAATTATAGAATAATATTTAAATTAAAAAAAAACCTTAAGTTATTCTAATTATTATGTAAAATAAACGGATAAATTAGATTTTAATATTAAGGAATTAATAAAGTAAAAAAATTAATTTGAGGTCTTCCTGGGGGTCGAACCCAGAATCTCCTGATTACTCATGATGTCGTAGTCAGACGCCTTGCCATTGGGCCAAAAGACCGTTTTTTGACTTGGATGTTGCTCTCTGGGTCGTTGGGAAGGGCTTGCTCAATAACACATTGTAAAACCTCACGTCTGTCAGGGGTGGATTGTTTAGTGCTATCGGCCCACAAATTATCCACGGGCTCAGCCCGGATATCAGAATATTCCCCGGCTCCGAGGAACAAAGGGAATTTCGGAAGCACCCGGCACGGGAGTGTTATCAAGGACATCCCTTGATCACCCCCATTACTTCAGCCATGGCCTGCTTAAAACTGACTTCAATTGAGTCCCTGTCGTCGGGTCCTCAAAGGGAGACTACATTCCAACTGATTGCCTCCAACTCAAATGACACATATGCCGTGCCAGATAGTAATAGCTCAGAAGTAAGCAATTCCGAAATGCAATTCCTCCGTGTTCTAATAAAATTGATGTGCGTCAAATCATCAGGCGGATTCTGTCTCTAACGCCTCATGTATTGAGACTAGATCATACTAGCAATAACACAATAAAAACTATTTTAACTTGCCACAAACCCAAGGTAGACCTGGCATCTAATACAGGAGGGTTGCCGGAGGAAGAGAAGCTACGTTGTAAGGAGCTCGGAACTGACTTTCGCATGTCTCCAAGCTGGGACTGGGACAGCAGTATGTTTGGAACTTTACTGCACTGAACAAATCTATCCAATCTGGAAGCTGGAGTCCCAGCTCAACTACGGGTCTTCGAGTATGGACGTCGGGTTCGCAATATGGTGTACTGACGCCATCACGTAGGGTGATGTAACCTGAGGTGTATGGGCATCGGCATAAGTCCTGCGATGTGGACTACTTATAATGAAGAGCCATATGCTACGGATCACCCTTATAATATGGACTGCTGATATATGGAAAAGATTACGTACGTACACACCTTCTAAATACACTTACCTAGGCACGCTTGTCTGATTTAAAACAAGCCTGCTATAGTAAGAATAATCTACAAGGCGGGTACTTGCGATTACTCGACTAAAAGTACCGATCCAAATAAACAGAGAATCATGTTTCACTCTACTGTTTATTCTAGTCAGTCAAGTACTGAAAAAGCCTATACTAGGCCATCTTACGCTGTGGTAGATTCGATTTCCCCTGGACAGCGTGCCAGGGTGTTTCATGCGAAGCCGCTTTAGATATCTCCCATGGTGTAGTGATGTAGGAAGATTGACAGCAACCATTTTGAGCATTGCGCAACCTTCAAACCGACTGAAACAACATCAATGCGACGGTATTCAGGGCCTATCTTATCATATTGGTGGCAGTTTAGAAACTAGTGTTGACGCGTTATATGAGGAGTGCGCCACATCCGGCTCATCTGAAATCATCTATTGTTAGCTATGTGGTATCTGGTCTCTCGGACTCTATAGTATCGCGCCACGCTCAAGATGAAACCATCCCAGGATCTTGGACCGCAAAGCTGGAAATCGTTAGTACCAACACCTTTCAATATCAAGTAGCAGACATACCTCGTTCATGATGGAAGGCATGCTTGTCAAGTGTTGTATCATGTCTCCGCCATCTCCCCTGCAGTCCTGGGTTTAGGCAGAATCCGGAATCTCCTCGATAGCGATATGCCCGGTCTTCGTGGAATGCGTTACGACCGCCTTCTCGCCCTGACCAATCCATCCACACTGATTGCACCGAACAACGAAGTCGCTGGTGTCGGTAAAGTAATGGTACTCATCCTTAAGTTTCTTGCAGAGGCTCTTAGCACTCTCGAGGATATGGTCGCTCTCAGATGCGTTCCATGTGGTCACGTCAAAGTCGTCCTCTACTTGGTTTTCGTGAAAGATCTCGGCGATGCGATCGTAGTGAATGTTGGACCAGACAAGCACACAACGAAGATCATGCTTCTCCTCCCCGTACTTTATGACGGTGCCAGCCTGCGAGCGCAAGGATCAGTATCTCATGGACGACCATAATGCATGGGTGGAGATAGTAACAGACCTTGACATTGACGACGCTGATCTCAATGTCGAAGACCTCGGAGATAATTCCAAGCTCGATGGCACCGCCCCAGACGTCAGACTTCAACATGTTGGCACAGTAATCCTTGGGGTCTTTCTCAAGAACCACTTTACTATAGGTATCGGGATGTGCTAGGATATAATCGGTCACAATGCGTCGGAGCTTCTCAGGAGAAGAGCCGTCGAGTCCGGAGTTGGTCCCTCGAAGTGCGCCGGCGACTGCGGTGAACATGCAAGAGTTGTCGTCGGGCATGACACGCAGCACTACATACGCGTGGATGTCAGCGTTTCATCTTGCGGTTGTATTATGTTGTCCAGGCCAACCTACCTAAATAAGTATCATTCGCCATCTTGACGGTAACGGGCTTGTCCTTGATATCTTTAGGCTCCGCTAGGGCATCGGCGGGGACTGCAGCCGGTTGCGGTGCTGGGCTTGGAGCGGTCTCGGGTAAGACAACGGTCAAGCTCTCGCGATGGAGGTTGAGGGACACTACAGATTCCTCCCCTTGATCTGCAGATAGAGCCTTCGGTGGCCATCCGTACTTGATCGTGACGTCGCTCGTGTCCGTCTTCTCTCTGATAGCGTCGAAGAGCTTCCCGACTGTCGCGTTCTCGTCGAGGTCCAGAGTGCCTCCTCCAGACGGGGCCTTGTAACGGATTTTGATCGGCATCGCAGTTCGCGTCGCAATACTGTATGTTGGCAGTTGGCACAGCTCACAGAGCTCAATCCAGGTTGGATCGGAGGTAAGAGCGGTGAAACTTGGAGATGGCGCAGAGGGCAAAGGGCAGCAAGGTGAGGCATGTACGTATTATCAGTCTAGGCTAGTGAATAGCATCGTCCGGGTTAGGGGAGAGCGTCGTGCGGCTGGTGGATGTAGGCCCAACTGCGGAAGCACAAGGAAAACAGCAGATGGAACGTCGCCATCGTGAGCACTTACTCGCCTTGGATGCAATGATCTGCCCAGGTGGCGGTTCGAGCGGTTCTAAAGTGGGAATCACTCGGGACGGGAGGAGGGGTTAAAGAACCGAGGGGTAAACCTCTTCTATCGGGATGGAATCGCATTTGCCTCTTTTGGTGCATTTCCCATCATTCTAACCGATAACCCGTCCTTGAGGCGGTTAAAGTCACATGCCAGCGGGGGAACTTTGCAGGGTGTACTCCGTACCTACAAGTAGGTAGGCAACACAGAATCTCATGATTACCTACCTACTCTCTCCATTGGTCATGCCTTGACGATCGTTTCAGCCCATAGACGGAGTTCATGAAGATGAACTAAATTTCACCCTAGTGTTGCTCTTGACATCTGTTATGTAAGACCAACCAGGGTGTAGTTATCTTGCTCATTACACTCAAATCTGGACCCCTGATGCAACAATAGTACACCCGTTCAAGACCCAGAAACAGCGTCCTTGACCTTGTCCGCCACCGTGGTCTTGTGTGTCAAGCCTCCACCAAAACTATGCTCACTATTCTTACCACCCGCCGTCACCTTTCCTTCGGTCACTCCAGTCTCAAAGGCGCAAGTGCCCATATCTAGAGCCTTCGCCGGACCAGAGGGCAGGATATCGAAGTCGAATATATCAACGGGAAGTCCGAGGGTAGTACATGCGTTCGGGATGTCAACAATACCCGCGACGTGCCCCTGAACAGGGGCGCATGACAACAAGAGGTAGATCTGATAGTCGCTGTACCCAAAACGGCGGAGATACTCGATGCAACCTATATGCTTTGGTTAGATCCTTTTCACCTGTAGCATTGTGGAGAGAGCTTACGAAGACTGGTCTGCCGATACGCAACCGCAACATCCATATAATGCTGCTTCCCATGCTCATCGACAGAGAACCCTTCGAAGTAGATGTGTCTCCCTGGGCCAAACTGCGGCTCCACCGGTCCGGGTATGTAGATAGGCGATTTGAGACCCAGGTCCGCCACCCCATTCTTGACCACCTTGAAGTTTATGGTAATAATGCCAGCCATCTCAATGGCGCCACAGAAGGATATCTCACCATCTCCTTGACTGAAGTGCAGATCACCCACCGAGAACTTGGCACCTGCTACGTGAACCGGGAGGTAGACTTTGGAGCCGCGGCTGAGGTTCTTGATGCTGTTGATCTATTAGCGTCGTGCCATGCTTCCCCTTGACTTCTTCAAACGGTAAAGGAGGTATCTGAAGCGGAAACCTACTCGCAATTCCCGCCATGCTCCGGCCTTCCGGGGATGGTCCTGGCGCCCTCGTTCCCGACCTTTTCCTTAGTGGCCGTGTCTGCTGAGCCAGCATGCACAGAGATCGGGTTAGGAGGCTGTGCAACGTCGCGCTCGAGTTTGTTGGCCGCGATCAGTTCCCCTTCACGCTTGTTCCAAGTTGCGAGTACTTCGGCCGATGGGGCACAGCCGAGAATGCCTGGGTGGATGAGGCCGGCGAATTTGACGTGGGGGATGTGGCGGGATGAGCAGAATATGCCTTCGAAATCCCATATGGCTTTTGCGCTGCAGTTTATTAGTTGGGACGCGTAGGTGTTGACTTCTTCCTTGTTTGAACTATGAGAAGGGCAAGGGGGGAAACAAGGGTAGCAAACCAAGGGAAAATGATATAAGAGAGAATGGGCCAACGTACGCAGATGGATAAATCTCATCCAGAAACCCGCCACCGTTACTCCTATCGAAGATTCCAGTGAAACCCCATGGTTGGTCCTGTAATCAGGATCAGGGGTTAGCCATCTGACTTACAACATTGTAGAACTGGTAACGACTAGGTTGTCGGGGGCTTTCTAGAAGTTTACCAGATACGAGTTCTACACTAGAAAGTGACTGACCTCGAATGGCTGCACATCCATAATCTCAACGAGGAGGACATCACCCGGCTGCGCGCCCTCGACCTCGAAAGGACCGGTGAGATAGTGTATTTTTGTCAAGTCAATGTTGCGCATGTCGTCGGCACTGTCATTGTTTCCGATTTGTCCACCCGTCCTATGTATAACGTAAGTAAGTTATCAACGAGCACCGGCATTTGAGTCTTGCAGAT